ATTTGAACATTTGGAAATGCATTAATAGCGGCCAATTCAAAATCACATGAGATCTTCCTAGGATTTAAATTTGGTTCAACTTGTTTTAGTAATGCTATCATTCTCGCATACGTTGCAGTCTGCTTATTTGACAACAGGGCATAAGCCACAGGATGGACTCCACCAAATCTTTCGGCCATAACAACATATATTTGTTGGAAAAACTGCGGTGCCGTAGAAAATGTCCCATGGTTCTAGTCCGCTGTCCGCTATTAAAAAGTTCTCTGCAATTCCGTTATGTTTAAAGAATTTGTATTCATCAGGAATCATCAAGAGTTCTATCAGCAACGGTGCTGGAGGTGCAGCATTTATAACGTTTCTCGTCCTTCGTATCATTTTCTTCAAAACTGCATTTTTTGGTAAAGCTGCTTGTGCAGCCTGTGATAAATCTGCCTCATGCATTAGTCACTTGGCCATAGAAATAGTATAGAAAGCCGATTCCATATATCAAAAATGAAACCATAAGGAGAAAATAGTGTGTCGGAGCTCATGCGTATAACGGTGCTGGCGCGAACAGACCGGTGCAAGTTTTTTATTGATCGAACAAATAGTTCGCACGATATTTCAATCATACATTTTTAGAGATGATTCTATACAAAAAACGATTAAAAAAATTTCAAGTTAAGGTAAATATGGTTCTGACAGTCCTTATTAAGAAAGATATGGCATAAAATATGAATTAGTTAATTTTCGGCAATCATTCGTACAGTAGTCATGAGATTTTGCTTGTGATTTTAAAAATACTTTCCAGAAAAACCACGTGCTCCGGTTTTGACTATGTTTATTATTAAACAGCGAAATTATATACAAAAACTTTAATCCACAATCTAAATTAGGTACTATCACAAGAAAATCACTGTTACAATAATTAATTACTTAACCAAAAACTAAAATACTTTTTAGGTACCTACGTAACCAGAAAGGAGCTGGACCATTTATCCTAATATTGATTTTCTCTCTGCCTACGGTAAAACTTAAAACAATAACAAATTGCCTATCTACTAGGGTCGGTAACTAAACGTATATACATAATGGGCGGATTTTGTTTATACTTAACATTACACTCGCGCATTTAAATATAACTATGCATATAAATATTTACAAACAAAGGTACTTTTCCAAACAGGCAATCATTAGTACTGTAGTCACGAGATTTTGCTTGTGATTTGACATCTTATTTGATAATATCATTTGCTACAACTAAATTTAATCTGGGGAGTGCAAAATAGGGCACAGGAATATTATGTTCGATATTTTTTTACATTTTGTCAGCCGAGACTATGAGTCGTTAGACAAAACCTTTCATGTTACCATTTTCAATATAAATTAAAAAATTAAAAAATACTACTACATTTACTTGGTACATATTTTATTTTAATTTTGAATCCTTTTAAAAGGGTCTTTCGGTTCCATAATAAAAATTAGTTGCTGCTTACTAGAAACATTCTATATAGCCTAAACCAATTTATAGTTTGTTTTCGATCAATTTAATACAAAGATTTAAAGTTTTTAGTCGATGATAACATTCCACACCAGCACATTGCACCTATTTTATAAATAATAGGAATAAACTTGTAAATCATTAATTTGGTAGTTATCTCACTCATATGATTTTTTTGTTTATATGAATATTTCGATTTCTAAATATATTTTGGCCTTACAATACGAAGCGTTTTGTATCTACCACTTTTTTAATGAACGATGAATGTTGACAGGCGTGTACCTTTTTCGGAACAAGAGGCGTTTTAACGAAGGAAATGATTTTCGAACTATCTAGTTAGTTTTCGGAAAAATAGAAAATGTTTGAAGAAAGTTGTCAATAACAGTTTGTCGTTCATGTGTTTCATTTTGATCAGCTTTCATACTAAATTGCGTAGAATATTTTTCCGAATCAAAATCGAGATTCTCGATATTTCCACAGTTTATTTATAATACCTTCTAAACTGGATTTATCTATCATTTTATATACTTTATAATATATGTGCATGCCCTACTTTTCACTTTATTAATAATTTTTTTTAACATACTTCAAAATGGTAGGATATTCTCAATTCGTTGAAATATTTTTTTATGTATGTTGAGCGATAATTCTTTACCACGTTGCCCGATTTCTAGGATTTTTTTTGTTAGAAAAGGAAACAGTTTTATATACATTAAGTCAAGATCTGAAGATGGGATCCATAAGAAAATCATTAACATCTTTATTTTTAAAGTAGGTTTTTTTTTAAATTTCTTTAAACCTTACTGGTTCGAACGCCGTAAGGAATGAAGAAATGTAAATAATTGTTGTGCCAGCCAAAAAACGAAGAGGAAGTACCGATTAAAATATCGAGTGACAGAAGAGTTCCTAAGATTGTTGAGATCGGGTTTGTTTTAAAATGCCTTAAAACCGATATCGATAATGTCTCCCCGTCGCTGGGCAGCCTGTATATAAATATACAGATCTCTATTTACATAATTATAATTCTTAGGTAGGTTTAGATTTGCAGACATAAATCTTGTAATAAATATAACAGCTGCCTAATACATTGATTACATTTTCATTAGCCAATGTAAAAATGTCTTTTATTGTACCTAGGATTTGACTAAACACTACACAAAACTAAAAATAAAATGCCACTTTCATCGTGTAATTAATGCCGCGTTTGAGAATCCACATCGGATGCATTTTTTACATCTCGAGCGTTTTTTATCAACATCGGACACATCTGTCCCATTACATTTACGTATACTGAATCACGTGATCAAAGATTTACTACTTACTACATTTCAGATGCATCCGATGTGGATTCTCAAACGCGGCATAAATAATAAACTACAAACGGTCCTGTAAGGGCAGCGTCATATAGCCTTGAAACACCGGATTTTAGTGCTATTGCCAGGTCAATATTGAATTTGTAGGTGAATCGCTTATTGAACATTAAAAATACGGTATTAATGACATTAATACGGTATTTGTATATATTTTTGGGAATGTAATTACACATAAATATTATTAGTTGATTATTTAAATGTTTATAAGTTATTTTGTGGCGATATTTCGTAGATATAAACTGTTTAAATCATATAATTTAAAAATTAATTAATTTAAAATTCTTTTCTGTTAGGTATGTTTAATATATTTGGCAACACTACAGGGACAAGTCATGCTTATTGCGCAAGCTTCTAGACACACTATTTTGCGATGTCAGGCGCAGAGACGCATTTTTATGCACAGTAGGTTTCAATTTCTGCTTAAATGTTATGTTTATATTGGTCTTCTATATTATTTCTATGCACTTGGCACGTTTGTTCCATAGTTTCTCTAGCACGAATTTTTATTTTACCACGAAAGCAGTCAACTTCCACTTTTGCTGCGTTACTGTCATGGGAATGATTATTAATTTGTTTTATTATTACATCATTCGATATATGGATACGACATTTACACCCATTGTTCTTAAGTTCACAACGCCAATATTCTTTAGTTGCACACACACTTAATTTGTCAAAAACGTAACAGTATCCATTACTGACATATTTTTTCTTTCCTGCTTTAGAAACCACTTCCATCATCAAAAGCGAGTACTCAGAATAAAAATAATAATTGTAGGAAGAAGAAAAATAGCAGATAGGCAAAATAAACGTGAGGGAAGCACAGTTGTTATAAAAGGAAACAGCAGAAAAAATCACAATGTCAAAGCGTAAAATGTAGCAAGCGATGCTAAAAGACAACTGTTATAGTAATGTTAAAAATTTATTATTTAACTGTTTATCCCCACCTCACCAACTCAGATAATAAATTTTAAGTGAAACGATTTCAAGGTTAATTTATCTGAGAAATAAGGGATTACATACAAATATTATGTTAATTATCTGAGGAATAAGGGATTAATTGCAAACAAATTATGTACTTATATTAAATTGTACGAATTAAAATTACCCGTAGTAATTTACAGGTAACTAAGAAAAAATTTGGAAAATCCCAAAATATGCTGCTTTTGGTGTACTCTTTTTCTGAATTATTAGTAATAAAAATATTTAGGGATAAGTAATAATAAAAAACTAAAATAGTTATTTTTGCATGGTACAAACTAAGAGGACGTCATTACATCGTCCGGAAAGAAGTAGCATTTATATAAGAAAATCACAAAAATAAAAAATAACATTACGAACGTAGGCTCATAAAATATATTAATAATTCTATTATTATGGTGAGAATTATATTTATTGCTAAATCTCGAAAATATTACCAGTGGGCTTTTCTTTATTATTATGAAATATAAAAATTTCGCGCCCGAATAGCTGGCGCCCGACCGACCGCGAGCCCGATTGACCCCGCGCCCGTACGGCGGCGCCCGATTGTCCGACTCCTTATGTGCGAGTTTTTTGAGATGTTGATTCCACGTCAGCCTTTGGTCAAATATGACTCCGAGGTATTTGGAGAAGCGGGTCAAGAGGACAGGAATGAAGGAAATTAATAGATGTAAATATGGAGAAAGGGAAGATTTACATTTTTTTTTAATTGTCAGAATAACTTTTATTTTATGTAAATGTCTAGTATTAAGCTATAAAACACTGAAATATTTTAAGTTGTTACCAAGTGATGGCTGTATTATCTCAGAAATATATAGGCCAATTAAAAATTTTAAAAAGTATTGTACTTATCTGTGATTAAAGTCAGCCAGCTGCCATCCGTAACATCTGTCTCGACAGCTTGCTGTCATTTTTGACATCTGGTTTACTTACCGTAAGTGTAATTATAAAAGTTTGGGTAAACTCTCACAGGACATTAAAACAATTATGGGGAAAACATTAAAACAAACAGGTTGTAAATAAATATTATATTTACGTAAATTCACACTGGGGGGGATATCTAGCTGGCGACACACTAAATAGCTGTCATAATTCACTAAATATCATTCGCTGGTTAACGACAAAAAATATCAGTAGGTATGTTATTTCAATTTAATTTTATGCAGCTTCAATTTAAATCCGAGCATTTCCGAAAATACTCCAGAGAGGGCGGACAGGATCACTAATTTCGTGCAGTTGTACAGAATAGGATTCGCCGATATGCCCGATATTTTGAACGGGTTTTCCAATTCCTAAAATTAAATTGCTCATTTTTAAAAACAGTACTTGATTAATATAGTGAAATTGTTTGAAACATAGTTTCATAAGTAAAACATTTTCGTAACTTCATTAAAAACTGCAGAAAGTAGTAAATAGTTCAAATGTATCCAATGTAAATTTATCGGTTTATAAACTTCCAGAAAAATTTGAATGCATAGGTATGGCAAAAGTACACCACTTGTGATTTTAACAAAATGTACTCATATTTATAAAATAAAGTTCAGAGAATAACTGTAAAATCCGTTTTCGGGACGTTTTAAGAGATTAGTTCAAATGTACCGATTCGAAATTCAACTAGATGTACCTCGACATTCATAAAAAAAGTTCAGAGAATAAATGAATAGTTTCCAGGAAGTTTTAAGAGAACAATTCAAATGTACTAAATCGTAAATTCAACAAAATTCCCTGGATATTTATAAATTAGTTCGAAAATAACTGTGAACCATTTCAAGGAAGTTTTAAGACAGCAGTTCAAATATACCGATTCGTAAATTCAACTAGACATTCCAAAATATTTATAAAAAAATTCAGATAACTAAACAGCTTCAAGGTAGTTTTAAGAGAGTAGTTCAAATGTACTTATTCGTAAATTCACTATTCATAAATTAGTTCAAAAGGGAACTATTTGAACAATTTCCAGGAAGTTTTAAACGAGTAGTTCAAATGTAGCTTCTCGTAAATTCAACAAAATTTACTTACCACATAAAAAGTTCTGAGGATTACTGTTTGAATCATTTCCAGGAAGTTTTAAACGAGTAGTTCAAAAGTACCTTCTCATAAATTCAACTGAAGGTGCTTTAATATTCATAAAAAAAGTTCAGAGAATAACTGAACAGTTTCCAGGAAGTTTTAAGATAATAGTTCGTAATTTTAACAGAATTCATTCTTTATAAATTAGTAAACATAACTATTTGAACCATTTCCAGAAAGTTTTAAAGTAGTTCAAATGTACATTTTTTGTATGTTCAACAAATTCAGTTAGTATCCGTAAATAAGTTCTTAGGATAACTGAAAATTTTTCTGAAAGTTTTAAGAGAGTAGTTCAAATGCGTCGATTCATAAATTCAACTAGATGTGCCTTAATACTTATAAAAACATTTAGAGAATAATTAAACAGTCTCAAGGAAGTTTTGAAAGGGTAGTTCAAATGTAAGAACTCGTTAATTCAACTAATGTGCCTCAATATTCATAAAAAAAAGTTCGGAGAATAACGGAACATTTCCCACGAAGTTTTAAGATAATAGTTCGTAATTTTAACAGAATTTATAAACAGATCACAGCCAAATCCGACTCAGCTGAGTCGTCCTTGAACAAAAATCGAAGTTAGGTTTAATCGCGTGAATTTAGAAATGAGTAGTAACAAATTCGTAAATGTACTTAACATATACAGATTTGCCACTATCCATCTCTAAATTCCAGTGTAACACCGGAACCACCTGGAACTTTAGAGAAGTTGTAACTGAACTTCGATTTTCGTTTAAAGACGACTCGCCCAAGTCCGACTCAGATGAGATCTATTTATAAATACGGACCTAACTATTCATAAATTATTTCAGATGATAGATAGATGTTTGGATCATTTCTAGGAGATCTAAAAGAGTAGTGCAAATGTTCCATTTCGTAAATTCAACTAAATTCACTTATTATTAATAAAAAAAGTTCTAAGGATAAGTGTTTGAACCATTTCCTGAAAGTTTTTAGAGAGTAACTTAAATGTGCCTATTCGTTAATTCAATAAGAAAATTATTTGAATAATATTTAAATGTTATCTAGGAAATTTTATGTAAGTAGTTCAAATGTGCCTACTATTTTTCAGTCATTTAAAAGTATTCTAGTTGTAAATAAATAGTTTAAATAATTTGTAAATTGACCAAAATGCAAATATAATAAAACAACATAAAAATATTTTCAAAGTAGTAGTTCTAATATACTATGAAAAAATTCAAAGAAAAACGCTCATCATTTATAAAAAAAAATTCCGAAATAATTTTTTTAGACATTTACAAAGATTTCAAAACGTTTTAAGCGAGTAGTTCAAACATACCTTTAGTAGATCTATGGCGAGCTTTAAAACGTTATTGGCCACGTTCAGTTCGTCTTTTTTGTGCGGCTTCTGTTCGATCTGTAGATGCAAATTAATCTGTTCCGTTATCAACACGGACAGATTCCTGTATTTTTTATTGATCTTCGTACCTAACGTCATGAATCTCAACAGAAGTATACCCAATCCGATACACCACACCAGAGCTTCCAGGTAATATTGGGAAAACCAAACCGTGTCCTACAAAAGATTTAATACACTGGAATAACGTAAAAGAAATACGGTCTCGCTTTGGGAGTGTCGAAGCGAATAGTAAATTGCGTTTTCATGTCCAGAAGAGGAAATGATGTGGTATCGATGTTGCTATTTACCGATCTGTAGCCGCTACTGTCCCATGACTCCACCTGTGTATTGCAACATTGATACTGCGTCGTTTCTTTTGCTACATGTACGAGCGCCACTTACTATTCACTCCAATACAAGGAAAGTAGGACCGGAAGGTTTGATCTTGCCAGGACTGTATATAAACAAGATGTAGAGTCACTAAGTACCATCTCAATGGTAAAGTAACAGATTGATAGATTACATCGATAGATTAGATCGATACATTAGATTGATAGATTATATTGATAGATTAGATTGATTCTTTAGATTGATTAAATTGATAGATAAACGCCGTTGAAAGATCTGTAAACACTGTCACAAGGAAGCTAAAGTATAATGAGTATGATCGAGAAGAGTCATGAGCATTTGAAGTATTCTTGCTGTCCAAAAAATCGAGATGATACTGAGAGACCATTCCTTCACAACCACGACTAACCTTCAATACCTCGACGCACAAAAACGTTAACAACAACAAATTAACAACGAACGCCGTTGATACGATGACGTCGACGGACCTTTGTGGTCCTCTTTTCTTCAAATACGATCTTACTGACAACCAAGTCTTGATGTTGATCACTTTGTTGAGCCGAAAGTGCGGCAGTTCGGATTTTTTGGCTCGACGAGACGACGTCAAGTGGGAGAACAATTTGGCGTACAAGAGCCTTTGCTTGAACGTTCGTTCTGCAACAGCTAGCAAAAAAAATATCATTGAGGCCAAAATCCAACGTTGCACTAAAGCTATCCCCATTATCAGATATTCCCTATAAAGGCAAAAAAAAAATAAATCTAAAAAATGATATTTTAACGGTGATAGATACTATGGTGAGAACAGTTGTTATGAAGTGTTAGTAAATATTGTAATAATTAATCTATGGTCTAATATTTATATTGCCGTATTAGTTACACAATAACTCCATCAAAAACGATAGTATTAATTTTAGGTGAACATAAAGGTCGGGTTGAAAGTACAATGAAAGTAAATATTAAACAGACAGTATAATAACAATAATAAATATTCTTGCTATGTTGTTACGGAAAATCACCCTCTTAGTAGTTGAAGTTAATATTATAGTTAAAAATATATTGCTTACTATATTTCTCAATTTCATGGTATTGTCATATTTAATTGATAATAAAAAAGAAAGTTGTCAAAGTATAAAGTCTATTTTCTCTATAATATAGAAAATTTAACATATGTTATAATAATTTCTGTACAAACGACGCACAATAATATAAAGCCTTGGTTTTTAAGAACATTCCGTCGCGAACTTTGCCGACGAAGTTCGTCGACGGAATACGTTCGCGAAATTCGCCGTATTTAAAAATGTACTATCCAAACTGTCCGTTTTTTAAAACCTGGTTAGACGTTTATTTTTAACGTAATGCGCCGGCGTTGTCCGTTGGAATCAAAATATATTTGGTTTCAGCGCAATTCCGCTGTCAGTTCTTATTTGAAATTGAGGTGTGGACATTATAGTTGTTATAAAATATGTCCAAAAAAAGTTATCAGCAGCTCCAATTTTCCAACGAAGATGAGGAGAAATTGATAGATCTTAGAACTTCATCAAACAAAACTGGCGTCAAGCGAAAATATTCTCGAAATTTTTCTTCATTTTTAAATAAATGTCGCTTAATTAGTACTTCATAGACTTCTTCTGATTTTCTTCTTTTAAAAATGTTATCCGATTTTTCATTTTTTAATAGCTCCAGCAGCAACTCATCTTCTTCATCAGCAAATTCTTCCTCTAATAAAAGCTGTAGAAACCCCTCCATAGCCACAGCACAGATTGTAAACTACTGATTTGCGTACTAAAATTCTTAAAAAAACACGGTGTCCTACGAACTTTGCGAACGGAATTCGTGACGCACATTGTATCCCCGTAAAGGTAAGCGCCCACTGATGCGCGCCGAACGAGCCGCACGCATCGCAAGAATCTCATTTATTTCCTAGATGCGTTCACTTACCAGTATCGAGCTACAGGAATTTTAGAATCAGTCATATTTTTGTGCATCCGTCACGAGCAGTTTAGTTTTGAGCAAAATGAGTGACAGTAAAGAAGAACTCATAGTAGTTGTCAGCTGCTTGTTAGCAGAAGACGAAAAAGTAAGAAAAGAATGAAAAGTATGGGTACACAATATATGCAAGAAACGTTTGATGTTTGGCGAATTTTACGCATTATTTCCCGATCTGGTTAAGGACGAAGTTAAATTTTTTCAGTATTTTCGAACGAGTCATGAGAAATTTGAAGCTCTTCTTGATATTCTAAGACAATACCTCGTCATCCATATTGCCTTGACGATTGCAACACGACTACTGCACGTGTAGCGAACAAAATACTGCAAAACTCTTCTAGTACGGCCAGTACGATTCGGCAACCTGCGCTCACTGATCGGAATTACGTCGTACGTCATCAAGCCGCGTCGCATGAGCCGAAATTATATTCTTTCAAAAAATCCTGGCCGCATTTACGGCAATGCGTTTCATGCGACTCGAGACATTTAAACCAATGCAAAGTATAGTTTCTTACGATTCTATCGGTAAGTGCGGCTCGCTCGGCGCGCATCAGTGGGCGCTTACCTTAAATCGCTCTATTGCAACTAAAACTTAACACCTATTAACGTACTTAACGTACCTATTAACGCCAGCAAACAGTTTAATAAATAAAAATATTTCTGAGGCATCCTATATATCTTATATTTAGTTAAATTTTCCAGTACTAATTCAAAAGGCATACGCCAATCTAAAAATGTTATTCCCTTATTCCCCATAGACATGTTTTATCTAAATCCTCTAAAATTTTGCGTCAAAAAAAAAATGATTTAAGACGGAATTAGCACGCCATAATATTCATAACAAAAACTATTAATTAACTAAGTTGACGATAGATGGCGATTAGATGCACTTCTGCGTAATAATTCAATATTCTCAGAAAACGCTTACTTGGTCGCCAGATTTTGTAGATCAAATTATTTTTATTTTACGGGTTCGCCAACGAGTAGTATATCTACCTGGTTCTGGGCCGTATTTAAATAATTTCATGGACAATGTTTTTATCGAAACTACTTATTTGGTTTTTATATTAAGTGGTGGTATAACTTTTATAATGGAATGCTGTAATGTCCTTTATTTCTTTTAAACATGGCACAATATTAATGATGTATAAATTTGTTATATGTTTCTTCCATGAGCGCCAACAGCAAGGGGCAAAGTGTGGCAAGGTCTTCGCACTTTCCTTATGGAGAAATAGTACTGGGTTGAAATTTAATTTTTAAATTTTTTAACAAAGACGTCCTCGGAGCCAACTCTATCTTATGACTAGTTTTTGATATTCAGCTTGTTAAAGTTGCACATTGCCTATTTTTAAAAAGGCTACACTTCTCAAAAAAGTACCCACTTTGAAAAAACTAAAAGTCTGTTCCAACAACAATCAGAAACCAGTCAATGACACCAGGATTCCGCGCAGTAGATTTTATTGGGTCAGCCAACCTATCTACTGTGCAGAATCCTGGTGTCAGTGACTGGTTTGTGATCGTTGTTGGAACAGATCTTAAATTATACGTACTTACATCTCTTTATACAAAAAACACATTCAGAAAATTTTAGTTTCTCTTAAGTATGCAAAAAACTTCAACTTCCCAAAACAGCTCCACGGAGAGAGCCATGGACCATGTCTCCCTCCTCAAGATTTAACAATTCATGAGCATTTTATTAAAATAAAGATTTGATAAAACGGGAATAAACGTTATACATTCCTTTTATGACAAATAAAATATTTTTTTGAACGAGGATCAAATTAATATTGACTGCACCACAAAATGAAAAATTATACTGTCCGAAACATATGAAGAGCTTAAATAAAAACTTGTTTATGACCGATTCAACCAAATAACTCTTATTTATATTAATTATTTAGATGTACACTACCATTTAAATGCTTTTAAGTTCTATTAATCCTTTCAGGACGGCGACGTTTACGATTCAATTTGCCACACGACGGAAGTTTTTGCAGTGCCGTGTGACCTGCTATTATGTAAAGACGTCATATACATAAATGGGTTTTTAGTTCATTAAAGTTTATTTAATGACTTTTCTTATTATTTCTTTATTTAAAAATATCACAAAAACACTTAAGAAATTAAAGAGTTACCTATTCTAAAGTTAAAGCATAATATGTAGCATATGTATGTGTCTATATCGAGTAAAATGTAGGTAACAGTAAAAATATAACATTTAATTTTTTTAACAGAATTTGAAATTTAAAACTCAGCTTGCTCATGGTATATTTTAAATCAAGGGAAAATGCACAGTCCAACATTACACTGAATACACATAGCCTGCGTTTTCTTTTTTTTTTTTTTCACCCTTGTTAGTGTGGGAAGAAATCCAACATCTAACAACAAATGTGCTGTTCTCCCTTTGATGCGCCTTTTCGGGAAAATGACGCTGCGTCAACCTTGCATTTCCAAGATCATAAGTAGTGGTTCATGTTCATACCAAAAAGCAGGTTTGCTGAGAAGGCTATTTCCGTTACTGCCGTCCTATTACAGCATCAGTCTGTATGGCAAGCACAGGAACGACTGATAGGTTCCGACACCCGTCTGGGTATCAAGTTAAGTTTTATGATATGTCTGGTATGAACGACATTTGCTTAAATAATATTTTCAGTTGATGCAGTCCATACACGACAGCCGTCGGGAGAGCACTTTTTCCTGTCGTCTATACACGGCAGCTGAACTGCAAGGGTTAATAACGGTTTGCTTTTACCTTTGTGACTTACAATAACCACGTCCATTCTAAAATGTAAAAAAATACTAGTACAAAAAAAAGGGTTTATTTTCTAGAATTTGTGGGTCAAGGTTTTTTTTTGGGGTAGCTTTTCTGTAAAAATGCATACTGGATTTGCGTACAAGTAAACTTAAACCAGTTTTTATAGTGCGTTTGTTGTGGTTCTCCCATTGAAAAAATATTCATTATCCATCTACAATACTTTTAAATTATATATAGGGTGGCGTATCCTATACGCGTTGGTCTCTGTAGGGAAAACGACTTAAAGTTTAAATGTTTTTCTTAATAGGGATATAAAGGGCCATTAACACTACAAATTAAAAATAATTTGGAATATACAGGGTGACCCAAAAATAGGAATTTATTTCATTGTTGTTTTTTTAAAGGGAACACCCTATATTTAATGGTGTCTTCTGATTTCCCGGAAAAAAATAAAGTAAAGTTTCTGTAATGTTTTCTATACCTATCTCTTTTCGGTTTTGAAACATTTAAAGCATTCTTAATTTGTAAGCTTGAACAACATAACCTAATATGTCGCGGTTATTTAAAACACATTAACAGTCACCTGCGATATGCCTAGCCAAGATATTAGACTATCGAATAAAATGCAAATTTGTCCATTACGTCATACAGGGTGCTCATTTAGTCTAATTGAATTCGACTTACATATGGAGTTGAATAATATTCGTATTTTAAATGGCACACTCTGTATTTAATAACAAACTGATAGACATTTAAATTATCTTTCATTCCATATAAGATTTCCCTATACCTAAAATCGATGGATCTTTAGTAAATAGCTGTTTTTTATTTTCAACATACGGATTTTATCATATTATTTTTAAATCATAGTAACCATAGAGAAAATATCACTCAAAATATGGTATTGAACGAAATGGACATTTTTATCACTTTTCAAAGTTAAAAAAACTATAAAAACAATTAATGACAAGAAAATTTGAATTACTTGAAAACTACACACAAATGAAAAAGAGTAAGAAACAAATTAAAAACAAAACAAAAAATGAATTATAAAAAATGATCAAAGTGACGCCCATCTTGTTCTAAACACAACTGAACTCGCTTTTCAAAGGATCGTTTCACTTTGAGAAGAATTTCTCCAGTTACTGTCTGAAAGGCAGCTCTTATTCTAGCTTTGATATCTTCGGAGTAGTTGGTGGGGTATTGTAAACTACTTTGTATGTATCCACATAAAAAAAATCCAACAACGTCAAGTCTGAAGATCTTGGAGGCCAATTATGTGGACCACCTCTTCCGATCCATTTATTAACATAACGCCGGTTTAAATATCGCCGTACTCGAAGATGAAAATGTGCGGGGGCTCCATCCAACTGCATCCACATTTTCGGCCTAGTATTTAAAGGTACATTATCAAAGAGCCCAGATAATTTTCTCCGCAAAAATTTTAGAAATTTTCTGCCATTAAGATGACCGATAAAAAAAAAAGGACCAATAACATGTGAACCTAATATTCCTCCCCACACATTCAAGGACCACCTATGCTGATGATCGAGAGTACGAAAGATGTGAGGATTTTCATCACTATAATAATGAAAGTTATGGCGATTAACGAGTCCTATGAAACGTGCACTCATCTGAAAACAACATTATCAAAAAAATCCGCATCTGTCTAATATCTTGGCTAGGCATATCGCAGGTGACTGTTTATGTGTTTTTAATAACCGCGATATACTAGATTATGTTGTTCAAGCTTACAAATTAAGAATCCTTTAAATGTTTCAAAAACGAAAAAAGATAGGTATAGGAAACATTACAGAAACTTTACTTTATTTTTTACAGGGAATCAAAAGACACCATCAAATATAGGGTGTTCCACTTTGATACAAATTCCTATTTTTGGGTCACCCTGTATAATCCAAATTATTTTTAATTTGTAGTGTTAATGGCCCTGTATATCCCTATTAAGAAAAAAAAAAATCAAATTTTAAGTCGTTTTTCCTACAGAGACCGACGCGTATAGGATGCGCCACCCTGTATATAATTTAAAAGTATTGTAGATGGATAATTAATATATTTTTTCAATGGGAGAACCACAACAAAACGTACTATAACAACGTTTAAGTTTACTTGTACGCAAATCCAGTATGCATTTTTAATCATTGCAGTAGTAGAAACCTATACAATATTTTAATATCGTTTTCTACCAATAATTTAAGGGAAGGCTATCTTATAAAATTTAGCAATTTGGATCTTTTAATTTCTATAATAAAAACGGTATGCTTCTGAAAAAAAATTTGTAAAGCGTCGCGACGCCCAGCGTCGCTTAATTATAACTTCCATACATATCCCAGTTTCAAGCATCAATCGGCGTAAATGAAATACTTTTTACAGAACTCAATTTTCTGCAGTAGTTTACGAGAAAAACCCATTTCCCATGATAAAAGAATCACCCTGTACAAATAATTTTTGTGATAAAATAACGAATGTCCCTTTTGACTCGTTAGTTGTTCGACATAAATTTGAAATTTTCAGGTCGTATTTAAAAGTACGTGAACTGTTGAGGTAATGTTGGTTGCGGTAATATGGTTAAAATCACGTTAAAATTAAAAAATATTCTGTTGTTAAGAACTTGTAAATGAAAGAAAAGAATTAAATATTTTTTGTGTGGAGCCTCTAATGGGAATATATATTTCCTGAAATAGTTTTTATAGCGATTTTTGATGACTTTTTAACATGTAAAATTTTTAAAATTTCATTCTTTTTTCCATTTTCTCAATTTTTTTCACTTTTCAGTATATTCAGGAAATAGTTTAATACCATTAGAATATTATTATTATTGCCTATTAAGCCTGTCTTGCATGTAGACAAATTCTCCTATGCTAATACTTTTGCTAACGACGCCTTAAAGTTTTTTAAAACGTCTTCCAAAGGCTTTTATTTCAAGAGTTTATTCATGGGATAGAGAGTTTAAAGATCCTACAAAATTTAAGTTGCCTATTTTGTGGTGTTAAAAAATATTATGTTGAGTATTTATTTTTATTTGAGTAGTCAAATACTGTCGTGCGAGCAATTTTCAAACAGTCCGGCCCTGATCTTTGTTTACGTTATCGCCGTTCAGAAGCTCGTCTGCGTTCCGCTTTCGCTGCCCGCCTCGAACAATTACTGGAAGGTTCTTTTTCGCGCGCGCCGACTCGTGAGGAAGGGTTTCCAGAACGTCTAGAGCATCGAGATTCTTTGAGACAACTGGATTTTTGTAGGGCGTAACATTTTTGTGGATTCTTTTGCCCTTACTTAGTTTAGAAATAAATATTGCCGAGTAAAGATAGATTGTTAAAGTATATAAATCAATGTAGTTTTGAATACAAAAAAGTTAGGTGTATTTAGTAATTAAAAATTAGAATAATTAAACTGTTTAAAATAAATAAATAAATGTGGAACTAATACGGCGTACCAACTTACTGTGCCGGAATATCTATTTCAACTCACCAAAATCCGCACTCAAATGTAGCCAACAGCCATTTCCTAGTCGTCAAAATGACCTCCTCTAACATCGACTCGTGCAATATCAACAAAGAATCACGATCTTCCGGTATAGCTGTCGTTATGTTAATATAGAGATTTTCGATAAAGCATTTCAACTCCAATAGATTCTCGAAGGATATATTGGAAATTTTACAAATTACAGGCAAGAAGGCCAATAGTGTCGATATTACAATGCCGATATAAAAGTAATCCCTGCTTTCCGGCATACAATCGACTTTTCCGATTATCACTGAACTGATTTCTAACATAGTAAGATCAGCTTTCTTCATGTCGTTCTTCTCCCAAATGATGCAGCTCACTAAAACATCAAATTTTAAATCCTCTGTTGGCTCGTCGAAAAAGAAAGTAAAATAAAGAAGAAAAACAAAAGGAAACAAGAAAAGGCAGGAATAAAAAAAATGAGAATAAGAAACAGACAAATGCATGAAAACAACAGGAAAAAAATTATAAAGTACCTATACATAAACAGCTATAATATACAGATTCAGCATAAATTTTTCTTGAGTATTGCCGATTAACAGGAGAAACTGCGACAGCTTTATAAAAAGCGAGCACGCCTTAAATCCCACTCTATTTGCGTGTCGGAGTCGGTGCATGAGATAGGTCGGCGTCGTAGGATTGCCAACGCCTTCGTTTTGCATTCGCTCTCTTATTCTCGCTTCATATGCATAATCTTCTCCATGTTGCTCCTAATATTGAAGAAAAATTTAAGCTGAATCTGTTTACTTACCTCTAGCGCACGGCGGATTTAATATAGCCGTCGGAGCTATATCGTTATTGTAAATATAATTATCTTTCTCGATGTCGATTTGACTGTCCGATATGTTCTCCAAGTCGGAGCTGTAGCTGCAATCGCTGTTCGTCGTCACGCCCATCCATTCAGTTGCCGAAGATGTCAAATCGCCGGGAGATCGTTCGATTTTCTTCACCTCGGGCGACGATGGAGCTATCTCTTCGTCCGTTTCGCAGTTGCTGTATTGCGATGTAATACTGATGGTTGGTACATGCTTAACTTTGGTTGTCTACGGATATATAACGATCGTCGTACGTAAAGAAATTATGACTAATATTAGAGAGATATTGCAAATTCACATAACTGCAGTCGCTAATAGTGCTAATGTAATCAGTGTATAATCGAATCAATAATAACGAAGATATAATAAATATGAAATCTGTACATCGTTTTATATTTACTAACGCTTGTAAGATGCTTTCGTGCCTCAAAGAAAATGATCATCATCATCATCTGAATTAGGGCGTGGTTCAAAGCCCACTTGTACTGAAGCTCTAGGCTTATTGTACCCCTCACAGTTCCTATCCCATCAGATTGATTTTCTTGATGAATTCAAGAATATGTCTGATGGGCGCTTTCGCGATTTCTTCAGGTTCCGGATATTGTACCCCGAAGTACCATTCCCGTTCCCATTTAAGGTTCCGGCAGTGGCATAGTATGTGAATAGGAGTTTCGTCCTCCTCTTCACATATTCTGCATAGGGAGTCATCAGATATCCCTAAGAGATTTAGGTGTCTTCTAAGGCCGCAGTGTCCCGTAAGGAGTCCTATTACGGCCTTGAGTTCACTTCTGCTAAGGTTTAGCAGTTGATGTTGTCAGCTCGTGGATGGCCCCTCTATGAATCTTTTGGACTGTCTAAGTCCAGGAAGTTCTATCCAGAGCCTATGGTGTTCTCTTTTTATTTGTTCCTTTAACACCCATTTAACATGTTGGTATGAGATACCACATGTGGGTTCTGGTCCAATAAGAGTTTTTTTCCACTCCCTTCCTTGCTAGGAGGTCTGCTTTCTCGTTTCCAAACACTCCCTCATGTCCTGGCACCCATTCAAGGGTAACCTTGTTATGTTCTGCCAGAGCCTGGAGGGATTGTTGGCAATCAAATATTGATTTAAATTGTACTTCTACCCTTTTTAGTGCTTTAAGGGCTGCCTGACTGTCTGTCATGATAACGATTCTCTTATCTCTAAGAGAGTCATTTAGCATGACTTTGCCGCAGGCATTTATTGCTGCTACTTCAGCCTGGAAGACTGTTGTCAGTGACCCCAGGTTCAAACTAATTGTTCTCCCTGAGTTCACATGGTAGATCCCAGCTCCTGTGCTGTTTTTCATTTTCGAACCGTCTGTATACCAGATTGATTCGTTTTGTTTTTCCCTTTTTTCCCGGCTTTTGGCCCTTTCTGGTATTTGAATATCAAAAGGTTTCTTGAAGTCGTGAATAATGGGCGTTCTATCCGATGGCATTCTTAGTACCGGATTTTGTTTTAATTTCTCTAAGATCATTGTGTGGTGTCCTTTTCTCGAAAGTTCCCATCCAAATCCATTAGTAAACAGCCTGTATGCCGCCGCCATAGCCTCCTTCTCCACCACAAGGTGTAGTGGAGGAAGACCTAGCAGTAGCTCCATTGCTGCTGTGGGCGTAGTTCTAAATGCCCCTGTTATTATTAGGCAGGCTAGTCTTTGTACCTTGTCTAATTTTCTGTTAGCTGTTATGCTTTTAGTCTTGTGCCACCATATGACTGATGAGTAAGTTATGACCGGTACTACCATAGTGTAAAGCCAGTGCATCATACTTGGTTTAAGCCCCCAAGCATTCCCTACCATCCGTCTACAGGCCCATAGTATTCTTACAGCTTTTTCTGTTGTTTTTTCTATATGGCTACAGAAGCTAAGCTTGTCATCGAGAGTGATTCCAAGATATTTAACCTCCTTTGCCATTTTTAGATGTTGTCCCCACATATAAAGCTCCTTCATTCCTTGAAGGTTCCTTTTTCTTGTGAATGCAACAACAGAGGTTTTTGTCGGGTTTGTGGACAGTCCCTCTTTTAGGCACCATCTTTCGACGATATTTAGTGCCCGCTGCATCCTTTCGGATACAACAGTCCCAAATTTACCGTTTACTACGATGCTTATGTCGTCTGCAAATGCTTGCGTGTATAAGTTTTCTCTCTCTAACTCCCATAAGAGGTCATCAACCACCAAGGTCCACATAAGAGGAGATAGCACTCCTCCCTGCGGGCATCCCTTGTTAACTGAGACCTCTCTTGTTGTGTTAAGGAGATTACTGGTACTGGTCCTATGATTAAGCATGAACTCTACCCACTTCGTAATGCAGTGGGCTACTCCACGCCTTTGCATAGATCCCAGTATTGAATTGTATGAAGCCGAGTCAAAGGCTCCTTCTATATCTAGGAAGACTCCTAGTGCTATTTCTTTGCTTTCCAATGCTTGTTCAGCCCGTTGAGTTAGCCTATGTATGGCTGCATCGCAAGACTTTCCAGATTGGTAGGCAAACTGGTATCGATGTGATACTTCGGATATTACTCGGGCGCCAGTTTTATTAACGTGGTTTGCTCCACAACTCAGACAGCTTCGGTTGAATATGACGTAAAAATTTCAGGGGTCAACGTTGGTAACGGACTCTTATTTTTAATGAGAGTATCAAGCCCGGTCTTTATTCGGAATTGATGTCGTAGAATTCCCGTAAGTTGAAGAAGACACAGTTCAATAACCGCAATTATAAGCTAATTAGGAACAAATGTATACATATATTAAAAACACTATTTAAAATTATATTTGACCAAAGTAAATAAACAAAATGTTCGAACGAAAAGAAAAGAAAATATATGTGGGTCATTCCATGTCAAACGCAAATGGCTGCCGTCAGAATTGACCCCATGCTTTTGGGACGTACAAAAATTCAAATTGTAGATCTTTTGACGTAGAATCGAATGCCGTGTGGTGTTTTTGGTGATCATTGATTCTTTGACGGTAATACTGTCAAATCTGACCTTGCTGATGTGAAATTTTATTGACATTCGAGCGGCGCGGATAATTTAATCAACGGATTATGATGAAACTTGGTACTTGGGGGTTATCGGGCTGCTGATCACGAATCCGAGGTCAGATTCGCAAAATTCATAGATGGCGCTTCCACATGGCGCATGCGCACTAGAAAAAGTGATAGACCTATTACTATTCCGTCTGAAAATCCCTACTCGGGGGGTTTAGTGGTACCTTCTCGGTTTGAAGTACCGAAAGTATTTCAAACTGACACAACTTATTCTAACCCAATGCAATCCAACACAATCAAACCTGACCTAACCTCATCCAGTCTGACCGAACCTAAGCCAACATATCCCAAACTAACCCATTTTCGTTGGGTCAGGTTAGATTGGGTTAGCAGAAGATGTGTGAGTTTGAAGTATTTCAACTAGAGAAAGTACCGTGAAAACCCCCAAGTAAGGATTTTCAATCTAAATAGCCTAAGGTATATCAATTTTCAGTGCGCACGCGCAGTAGCGTATCGCCATGTTGGATTTGCAACATTTTGAGAACGGATTCGTGATCCCCACTCAGCGGAGCCAACCTTGCTGACGGTATCTGTGTTCAAAATAAGATTTTGAAGTTGCCGCAGTTATCATTTATTCACTCGTTAATAGGTGGCTACAGTCCCGTATCGCGATTCTTGTAAGCGAGGTAGCAGCTATCGAGTATAAGTTAGGTCCGTATTTATAAACAGAACTTATCTGAGTCGGACTTGGGTAAGTCGTCCTTGAACTAAAATCGAAGTTCGGTTACAATGTCTCTAAATTTCTAGGTGGTTCTGGTGTTAAACTGGAATTTAGAGATGGATATTAGCAAATCTGTAACTGTTATGTACTCGTACATTTACGTTTGAGGAAGAACGTAAATCAACTAGAACCAAGGTTTCCGGAATTCATAATAGTATCAGTAGTAGTGAAATTCCAAATATATCAAATCTCAGTAATGTTTCTGCAGAAATAATAAATTATCTTTATTTCTTCCAATAGGGGTGCCCCGAGCTGAATAATCATCTTAACAATACTATATTCAGATACCGAATTCGTGATCAGCGAACCACAAAACCCCTGAGTACCAAGTTTCAGGGTAACCAGCCAATTCTCAATCACTTTCCTTCTGCACATGCGCCAAAATGTGGCGCAATCTACGAATTTCGCGAATCTGACCTCGGATTCATGATCAGCGGTCCCGATAACCCTTTAGTACCAAGTTTCATCATAATCCGTTGATTAAATTCTCCGCGCCACTCGAATGACAATAAAATTTCATATCAGCGAGGTCAGATTTGACAGTATCACTGTCAAAGAATCAATGATCACCAAAAACACCACACGGCATTCGATTCTAAGTTAAAAGATCTACAATTTGAATTTTTGTAGCCAATTCTGACGGCCGCCATTTGCGATTTGACATGGAATGGCCCATATATATATATAGCATCACGGAAGATCTCAATCAAATGGTATAGGTAATTCAAATCAAATAGTTCAATAAATCGACAAATCCAAATTACAAGGTGACAGAATTCTTACAACAAATTCCAAACCTACGCTACTTATAGTGATTCGACAACATATAAGGTCCTAGCTATAATCGAAGTAATATCAAGTTGTATTTACACTAAGGCCGTAAATGTTGTGTATTAATTTTAAAACTGATTTGTCTCGGACAAAGTTATACTTAGATGTCAAAATAGTCCCAGTATTAGTGCTTGTCGATATTTGAACTTGCAGTCACTCTCTATTTATGAAGAGGTTTTGTAAAACACCAGGCGCCAGAATAAAAAACAAATTAAATTTGATTATCTACATTAATGACCCGTGCCATTTTTTTGTAGTATAAACCGTTCATGGGTTGTTTAAACAACATCAAAATATCTATGAACGCATAAACTTTAAACTGCTATGGCTTGAATAGATTATAATACGTTTCATAGCGCAAAATGCATATCACATCCCTATATTTGTGGGTGTGAAGACTTTTCTACATATCGTTTTTGGACATTTTGAGCTATCGGGATATTTATATATACCATTTTGTAGAGTTCAACAAGAAAAGTTCAATCTCGCAAATCGCATTATCGTAGCTCAAACGGTTGCCTAAATATTTAATTTCAAAGTTATTGTATTCTGTGGTAAACATAAACCCAGTGAGACTGTTGCCAAAGGTTTTGTCTATACTGGGATTCACATAAAAAACTTTAAATAGCGCGCTTGAATTGACAATCAAGGGACTATAGATAAACAAAAACACGTCCAGTAGTCTAGCGCCTGGAGTATTGTTAAAATGTTAACTTACATTCGATAATTTCCTTCGTGACGTAAAGAGAGGTTTAGATTCGCTTTCAGATTCTGTACTATACCCATTCACAGCCTCAATTCGACTCTCAGCGACATTTTTATCACTAGTTTCGTTTTCCGTACTTTTATTTCGTTTGTTGCTAAAAGAGACGAAAATATAGTTTCGATTTTAATCGAATATAGCAATAAATGAACTTTAGTTCAGTAACAGATAAGATATTTTTTCTAAATATTTTTTCATATTCTATGCGAGTATAACAGAGGATCTTACATCATCAGAAAAAGTACATCTAAATAGATAAAAAAAGTCGAATATTGAACACAATAAATTACCATTAAATTACTAAATTAATACAAAAACAAAATCAATCATAACCAAAATGTACCTCTTCAGACTAGAATCCAACGCTTCAATTTGCCTAAATTCCTTTTCAACTATATTAAATATCTTTTCTTTCTTCGTCCTCGTTTGTTCCTGCATTTCCGCCCTACGTTTTTTCTTCAGATTGTTGCGTTTCCTTATCTCCCTGTGACTCAATGTTGATTTGGTTACTTCATTGCTGGGACTCGTCGATACGATTTGAGAATGAATCAAACACAAAACCCAAAGCATAACCATTGGGATGATAATTTCCATGCACGATACTGACTTTAGAATGAAAATAATAAAAAGTACTACTCAACACACAATTGACAATTTTAAAAAAATACAGAAAAATAAATATATAAGATTATTTACCTCTGAGTAAGTAGCTATCGATGTATGAACACAATAGATGCCGATATTGATAATTTGTAAAACGTAAATAATAAGACAAATGAAAAATACATATGTCGATGTTTGCTCTATCCACCAGTATCCATAGAACGGATAGAGGATGCATCTAATGGTGGCCAACTTCGCAACTTTAATAAAACCATGTTTCGGTTTGGCCTTAGTAAAAGACGAACCTAGAATCCAAATACAATTATGTATCTCATCGAGACCTTTCCATGGATATACTACATCATGTATCAGTGAGGTAGCCAAAAAAATATAACACCATGATTAATAGTGCAAGGCATAGTGGCGCATTCGTTTGCAAAATTGTTTTAATTCGTATTTTTTTTTTAAATGTCCGGAAGGATTTCCTGATTATAAAAGTGTAAGATGACACTCGATATCTGTTGATGTTATTGTTTAAACAACGAAAAATTAATTAAGCCAGAAAAAATGCATTTTTTGGAATGAATTAATTTTTTTTATATTCTTTAGGATATTTCGAATAAAAAAAGTCCTTACGCCCATCATTGTATCTTTAACCCTTTAATTGTTATGAATGTTTTAAAATCCGAAATTGACGAAAATTCTAATTTTCTTGAATTAAATAGAATACCTTAAAATTTAACATGCTATAATTTTAAATTTTTTACCGAATATTCAAACTATAATAATTTTGTTTATGTTTTTTTACGTTATAACAATATGCTTCCTACGCGCGAGTACTTTTAGAGAGAAGTACTTCTATCTCACTTCCAACTCAATGTATAAGATGAGTAAGAGAAAGCCCGATGACGCACTGAATCAATTTTTTGCTGTTTTTCAGAGGTAATAAGCTTAAAAAATTATTATTAACATTTTTCATAACACTTTGTTATATTTGCCGATTAATAGTTTTGTATCATGTGATTTTTTTTTACTTTTTTAGATACTTTTGATAACTTTTTAATTATTAAAGTTAACAGAAACATTTATTTTTAACATTTATTTTTATTCATGAAAAAATTATTGTCAGATACTGCCTGAGAAGTAAAATCTTCTTCAACCTTTTTTCTTTAATACGATAAAAAGGCCAAATGCACTTGTCGTGATCTTTAGATTTCTCTGGTTTTGGTTTTCTTTGATAACCAAATAAAGCCACTGTATTTAACAAAACCGCCATTACCTGAAGATTTAGCAAAACCGTGCAACTATAAAAAAAATTGTGCAACGAAAGCTTGTTCGTGTCAAAAACTAAACATGACGTGTGTGGCATTATGCGGATGTTTAATTGAATGTTGCCAAAATCAATTTCATGTAAAAACTAGTTAGATGTACAAACTATAATTATTTTATGTAAAAATTTTCTTAATAAATGAATATTACTATTAAATAATCATAGTGGAAAAGAATTAACAACCATAGAAAAAATTGAATACATATATATTGCGTACTCTGTTTTAAAATAAAAACCAAATGAGCCAAATGCTCATCGTAACAGGTAGAAATTTCCCTTGAATTACGGCAGGTATGTTTGTCTTCTTTTATCTTATTGGAAAAAAAGTAAGAAAAATTTATTTCTTAGACAGCTCTTGGCAATGATTTTTGTTTGTGGATGGAACATTTCTATTAACTTCAACGAATAAAAAAGTTATCGAAAGTATCTAAAAAAGTGTTATGAAAAATGTTAATAATAATTTTTTTAAACTTATTACCGCTGAAAAACAGCAAAAAATTGATTTAGCGCGTCATCGGGCTTTCTCTTACCCATCTTATACATTTAGTTGGATGTACACGCACGTAGAAAGCATATTGTTATAACGTAAAAAAAACATAACAACAAACACAATTTTGCAAATTTATTTAGGTTATTTTGTTTATTATAGTTTGAATATTCGGTAAAAAATTTAAATTTTAAGGTATATTATTTAATTCAAGAAAATTAGAATTTTCGTCAATTTCGGATTTTAAAACATTCATAACAATTAAAGGGTTAAAGATACGATGATGGGCAAATTTGAAAGAAATTTTCAAATTCAAATACCAGCCCGAGAATCCTGGAAACAGGGACCTCCCGTACAGGCTGAACTCGTCTGTTACACAGACGGTTCAAAAACCAAGGAAGGAGCCGGTGCTGGAATCTATGGACCTAAGTCGAAATCAACGATTTCACTAAGCTTAGGAAAATATGCAACAGTGTTCCAGGCTGAGCTAATAGCCATACAACACTGTGCAAGAGAAATATTAAATCAGCAAGTATCAGGCAAAACTATTGCCATATACTCTGATAGCCAAGCAGCTCTAAAGGCAATTCTCTCACCAGAAATCAAATCACGACTGGTGAAAGACTGTCTAGAAGACCTGACAGAGCTAAGTAGTCAAAATAAGGTGACCTTAGCCTGGGTTCCAGGCCATGAGGGATATCAGGGCAACGAAAAAGCCGACGAATTAGCCCGAGAAGGCTCAGATAAGGCCATGACAGGCCCTGAACCCTTCTGTGGAGTTGCTAAGGCATTGTGCAAGGCATCCATTAAACAATGGATGCAAAAAGAGTCTCAGGAATGGTGGAACAACTATCCAAGACTGAGACAGGCCAAACAGTTCATCAAGGAACCATCGGCCAAGTTTACGAAAGACCTACTGGATCAAAAACGTCAAATCGTTAGGATAACAGTAGGCCTTCTTACTGGACACTGTCGCCTCAAAAGGCACATGAGTGTCATAAATCCAGCAGAAGAAGCAACTTTGTGCAGGTTCTGTGAAGAAGAAGAGGAAACATCATTCCACATCCTGTGCCAATGTGAAGGCTTGGCTGGAATGAGGTTTCTAACATTGGGCGAAGAAAAGCCAATTGCATGCAACTACATGCGGGAGCCACTGTCAAAGCTACTAAGTCTAATAAAAAAGACCAGGCTAGACGACATACTCTAAAACAAACGGAGTCCCACAATAGATCTGAAAAGGTCGCGGTGGACAAGAACAAATAACGTCCAACTCCTAATCTAATCTAATCTACGATGATGGGCGTAAGGACTTTTTTTATTCAAAATATCCTAAAGAATATAAAAAAAATAATTCATTGCAAAAATGCATTTTTTCTGGCTTAATTAATTTTTCGTTGTTTAAACAATAACACCAACAGATATCGAATGTCATCTTACACTTTTATAATCAGTAAAGCTTTCCGGACATTTAAAAAAAAAATTACGAATTAAAACAATTTTGCAAACGAATGCGCCAGTATGCTCTGGTCTATAATAAATTTACGGGGTAAACAACGCGATATGCACATAGTGTTTTTAACTCATCTTAAATTCTCTAAAATTTCTATAAGAACATAGAAATTTTGAAGGTATATGAAAATTTGCTATCAGAACATAGAAATATGTCATAAAAACAAACAATTAATGCAAATAAAAATAGGAAGTTAGATTAGTAAACAATTTTAAAATAGATTTTAATTGTAATATTTTTTATATGTAAACTCTGACGAAACTATATCTTTTTTTTTTGTAAAATGAAAATTTAAGCAAATAAAGATTATTATTACATAATTATTGTGACAATAATTGGGTGTCTAACTGCATTTCATGTCGAAATATAATAATGATAATAATATGTATTGAAATATATTGAAATGCAAATAAACAAACAAAAAGAAGACATAAATGTATCTAATAAATTGAATGAAGAACTAAAATCAAGACTTAAAGAAAGTTTGCTACAAGTTGAGGACTTAAGAAGTAAACTTTTAGTACTTGAGAGTGTAAACATTGACATGTTCAGTACGATCAAAACATTAACTATAGACAATGATGCGTATGCATTAGAAGTAGTTGAATTAAAAAATAAGTTATGCATTTTATCTCACAAATCACAAACAAATATAGAGCAAACTGAAAATGAAGTAAAAAAACATAATGAAAAAACAAAGAATAGAAATGTCAAACTTAAAAATAAGCAAAATGGTGAAGAGATAAATAAAATAGAGCAGTTGAAGACAACAACGCACAAGAATGGTAAAGACGTTATTGATTTCACAGGTGGGGAAGGAATCAAGGAAACTGTGAAAAAAGAAGAAAAGCGTCAAAACATAAAAAACAAATTATTAATCTTATGTGACCAAAAGGGCAGAAGATCTAGGAAGCAGGCTAAATCTTGATGTGTTTGGTACTGAAGTTCAAAATATTATCAAGTCAAATGCCTTGTATAATAGCGTTATTGATGATATTTTAAATTTGACTAAAACTTTTACACTAAATGATCATATTGTAATCATAGCAGGTTATAAAGATTGTGTTAAAGGTAAATATCCACTGTTTAAAAATAACAATGGAAAAATTAAAAAGTGTACCCATACAAGTATTATACTTACCTCAGTATCTTACATTATTAATCAAAATAAAATTAATGAATCTATATACAAATTCAACAAAAAATTATATTAAAATTATATTATATTAAAATTAACAGTTTTTCAGAGGGTGAAATATCTTTTCTAGATCTTAATAGTTATAAAAGGGTTAATTTAAAGAAATATATTGAATACCTCAAAGAATTGTCAACTTAATAAAACCTAAATTCAAACATTTCCAGAAAAATCTAATTTTTATACAAACTTCAGAAAATTCAGTTACTAAAACTAAACCAGTTTACACTAGTTACGGATATGTGTTGGTCTGTAACTAGTCATGGTGGAGTAGCCATATATAAAAATGAGAATTTCTCTGGAACAGTGAATGAGTATGGCATCAAAAAATTTTCTGAAGAAAACATATAAGACGATTTGCTTAGTGATTTATAGACCCTCTGGAGAAAATTTTAGTGATTTTATGTTAGTTTTAAACGAAATTTTAATCTATGTATGTTCAGAAAACAAATAAAATATAATTATTGGATGAGATTTTAATGTAAATTTTATGAAACCCAGTACTTAACTTTCTTTATTAGAAGATTTATTGTATAGTTTTAAACTTGAAATACGTGTAAGAACTCCAACTAGAGTTACAAAAGACTCAGCAACTTGCATTGATAATATATTTGTTAGAACATCAAATCAGTACAGTGTAAAAGTGGTAGACCTTTGTCTATCTGATCACTATTCTCAATTTAGAACATGTTCATAATCTATTAGGGGCTGAAGATTGGACTAGTGTCCCAATTTAGCTTATGATCAATTCGCGGAAATTGTTTTATCCTATTTTGAAACTGC